AAAAGCACTATATAAATAAAGGTGACTTGACTTGACTTGACATTAATGCACTGAATTTCTTTTTAAGGACAGATAAATTAACAACAGTTCCATGTGTGATTCTAAGATGCATCAACTGCATCAAAATGCACATAAATGCAAACACAATAGAATATTATATAATAACTAATATTTCAGTACTTTTTTCTCACACATTTTAGATGTAATCTTATATGTATTTCTTCAATGATCAACAGCTGGTCTTTAAAGATGACAAATGATCGAAGTTCATTATCCATACTTACTTTCTGGCTCAGATGTGATATTGATTTCACTATGGTGAATCTAAGAATACAAGCTAAACTAGCAGATTAAGGGTTGGGCCATTTTCCATGGTGACAGCAATACATAAATAGGTTAAGCTGACCATTTTTACAGTACAGCGGTTCATGCTGTACTTTTAGTCCTGTTGTATCCCATATCTAATCTGATTCAACCTTGAAGAGATGAACATTAGAAAGTGCACATGTCATTGTGAACTCAAAGGGTGCAGGGCCAAAAAGCTTTCCTGTTGTCACCTAGATGGGTCATTCACACTATCAGATGTAATGGAACACTGGAAGTCCATGAGTATTTGTCATACATTTGTCAAGTAAATAGTGAGGTTTATGCAAAAATCAAACAAGCAATGACAAAAAATGCTTCTCAAGTAAACTGATCTTGTTTTAAGGTATATATATATATTCAGGTTCGGTAGGTTATTTTAACCTGAGCCAGTAGGTGACAATAATGACAAAACATTGCAATCACTCAGTACTTCTGCCTTTCAATACCTGATGAACAATAGCAGAGAACCATAGCCACTCCCTAGAAACTACACCATAGCAACCATGCATTAGCAACTACCCAGAAAAGCCTTACACAACCATGAGAAATTTGTTGTAAAAATTGTCATGGCAGCTTCAACATTGTAAAGGTGAGTTTTGCATTATTGAGCACCACTTTAAAACTCAATTTGCTGATATTAATTACACATTCTTGCAAATATCAATTTAAAAACAAAAGATGCTTTTTCAATATGAGGAAAATAAAATAAAAATTCAACTTAAACACAATTTGTCTCGCCCTTCAAGTCTTTATTTTTTTTTATCATGATCACAAATTATAGTTGAAATAAAATAATTATTTTAATTTGTCAAGTAGCCTTGTGATAAGCTCAATAATGTACAGTCAGCTAGGAACCAAATATAAAAACATTACCACAACTCAATCAGTGTATTTAATTATAATGTAATTACTTTGATGAAAAAGTATATTCTTTTATCATGTTTTTATCATGTCCTATTTTTTTCCACACACATTTTAAATATTATTTTTGACAACAGAATGGTGTTTTTCATTAAGATGTATGCAGTTTGTCTTTTGCTCATCACATGGAAACACACTTCTTGTTACTGGTTGATTGACTAATGCTAGTGGTACTAAATTGTGATTGGATAAAGTCTTAGTTTGGTCAAATAAGATCATGGATTAAGATATTGCTGTTGGGGATTTTCTACAGGCTTCAGTTGTAAGTTGAGGGTGTAGCGACGTCTAAAGTTGGCATCATCTAAAGTGTCTCACACTATATTTTTTAGACCATTTGTTTATTGCAACTAATCTCTTAACCTGAAGAAAATTTGAGTACACATCCTCCACTATGAACACAAAGGCAGAAGAGACCAAAGATGGCTTTTATGACAACTATAAAAGAGCATGGGCCTCCATACATTAAATATATACTTTACTGTTCAGAAGTTCAAAATCATGTGACATTGAAAACTGGAGTAATGGCTACTGAAAATTCAGCTTTGCCACCACAGGAATACATTACATTTTATAATATATTAAAATAGAAAACAATATTTTATTTGAACATTTCACAATATTACAGTTTTTATTGTATTTTTAATCAAATAAATACAGCCTTGGTGAGCACATAAAAGGCTTCTTTAAAAAACATTAAAACAGCTTATCGACCCCAAGCTTTTGTTATTTTATTATTTCATATTTATTACAGCAATTTTGTTTCTTTTCTTTTCTAAATCAATATTTGGGTTCATTACAAAACTGTGCTCGAGGTCATTTGCTAAGCACACAAAACCTGTTTTTTTGTGTACAGAAGTATAACTGTGTTATATTTGCTAATTATTGCTAACAAAGGAGAAATATTAGCCTTCAGATGTGTGTATATTACTATTTTCTTAGAGTATGACACTTATTTTTATATGACTTAAAGTCCAACAACTTCATTAAAAGGCCAAAATTAATTCTGAAAGTAAAGGCTACTATCAGTGCTAGTGATTTTTATTTTTTTCCCACTAAACCAGTGAAACTCAAAAACAGCCAGTTCTAGATTTCAATGGTCATGTCAGTCACCGGGCTGATTGTCTACACAACGCTGAAACAAATGCCAACCTCTAGCCTTAATTTACACCCTTATATAGAGTCGGTAGCATGTCCTTACAGCTAGCAATACTGGTTGTCGAAATAAGATCCATCCATGATTTTTCTAAATTGAATCCATGAAGTCTTGTCTTGACAGATGACTGATCAATGAAATCGGCTGCGGGGGGATGGTTTGTACTCAACTAGTTTGGGGAAAAAAATCATGCGCAAGGTATACCTATACTTACAGGTGCATCTCAATAAATTAGAATGTCATGGAAAAGTTCATTTATTTCAGTAATCCAACTCAAATTGTGAAACTCATGTATTAAATAAATTCAATGCACACAGACTGAAGTAGTTTAAGTCTTTGATTCTTTTAATTGTGATGATTTTGGCTCACATTTAACAAAAGCCCACCAATTCACTATCTCAACAAATTAGAATACTTCATAAGACCAATAAAAAAACATTTTTAGTGTGAATTGTTGACCTTCTGGGAAGTATGTTCATTTACTGTACATGTACTCAATACTTGGTTAAAAGAACCAAAGACTTAAACTACTTCAGTCTGTGTGCACTGAATTTATTTAATACACGAGTTTCACAATTTGAGTTGAATTACTGAAATAAATGAACTTTTCCTCGACATTCTAATTTATTGAGATGCACCTGTATATTAAGGAAAACATTTGCTTTTAGCCTTGATTCTTGTTTTCCCACATTCCACGTTTGGAATGAAAATGGTGGAAAAAATGTCTGAGGTGGAGTCGTTCCACCTCTAACCCATTTCCTAAGACTCTAAAGGAGAAAAATAAGAGATTAACAGAGACTTACTACAGATATACTTAAAGACTTTACACCTAAAGGTAATTATTATTATTATTAGCAGTAGTCGTAATAGTAACAAGCAATTCTATGACATGGTTATTCAAGTGATTTCAAAACTCCCTGTATAATATGGTCACATTTACACGACAATGATTGTACTAAAATTGGAAACGTTTTTCCTTTCTTTTCCTTTTTAGAATTTTTTGCGTACAGACGACAACGTTGTCGAAACAATACTCGTTCACACTGATCTGCAAAAACGCTGTATTATCATGCCAGGCCAATAGTTGGTGATGTCACTTGTAAAGAAACACTATGTGCCCGCACATATTCAAATTCACGTCTTCATAGTTTATACGGAGACAATAACAGAATCATTTTCAAAATCTTGCGCTTTGAGACCCATTTTCAAAAGTTTTCAGACCCATAAAATGCTGTTGTCGTGTAAATGAACGGCCGAAATGCAACCCCCCCCCCTCAATTTTAGTTAAAAACTGTGTTGTATAAACACCCCCAAAACAGCTTTTTCCAAAAGACTGTTTATTAGTCTTCAACTCATGTTCATAATGATACTTCTCAAAAAAGTCTTTTAATGAGCAATACATTACTGAGTGCACTGATGTAATGAACAAAACACTAGGAAATCTGTAATAATTCCAAAGATGATGGGCTTTCATTACCTGTCTAATAACTCCCAGTCTTCACCCCCCCATTTGTCTTTGAATTCTCTGGTGTTCATGCCACCAATACGATCCATGTCTGACTTGTAGATTCCCATCAGACCGTAACCAGCAACCTCCCAAAACCCTATGGCAGAAGTATTTGAACTCAAATAAAGCGTATATTAGCATTATTATCAGGACATATCTAAACATGTACCAGTGTCTGCAAGGCAGGAAAAGTTTGATGATAATAGATGGTAATGATAGTAGATGATAATAGTTTATCGTTCTGAAATTTCGCTGTTGTCATGACACACTGCCTCATGAAGGCAGTTATAGATTAAGTTGGCAAATGCATGCAAAAAAGAAGGTCAAACAAGATTAGTAATTCAAATTTCACAATGACATCATCACTGTCAGTAGACTTTGTAGACTAGGTTCTGGGTGTTTCTCTACTGGCACACATTTCTATGATAATGTGGTTTCTAGATCTATGAGTTTTTTAACCTGTTTCATCATTCATCATGGTGAAATTGTAAGTCTGATCACCTTGAAAAAACAATGAGATCTGATGAGCTTTAATAAACACTAAACAACATTGGAGACCAGTACCAGCTGGGGCTCTTGGGGAAGCACCACAATCCAGTCTCATCACAACCGGAGCATAGACCATCTTTCCCTCAACACAGTGTTTTCGTATACTGTTTATTATATTCACAGGATAGTAGAGGTGCAGGTCACACAGGAACAAAATACTGTGTTCATCCTGAGAAGGACGAACCGACATTAAAACATATACCATACCATATATTAATTAATTAATTCATTCATTCATTCATCCAAAACAGTAGCTTCAAAGGAGCAAGAAAAATGAATAAGAAACATGAAGAGCTTTTATTGTTAAAATGAGTTTACCTACTTCAACAAGATCTATTCCAGCTTGAAGGCCACCTGATCTTTGAAAATTACCATCCATCTTCTTAAACTTGTAACTGTATATTTGTGCATGTTGACGTCATTAGCCATATAATTGTGCACTGACGAACACACTCATATGTACAAAAAAGTTTAAAACAAAGTGTTTTACCTTGGTAATGCTGCCTTTTTGAGTCTTTTCTCAATATCTATGTCAGAGCTGTTGTAGTCTATAATTATTACATTAAAGTTTTTGTCCCCAGTTGCTCTGTACACTTTTTCCATTTCCCTGATAAACTGTATGATCCATCTGGCCTGATCTTTCACTGTTGGAAGATAAATGAAGACATTCTTAATTTTGTTTTAGGAACACATGGACAGGCTGACAGATATCTGATGATACAGATCAAAGCAAAAAACTGTCACATTCAATTTAGTAATGGTGCATTTACGAGTTTTTGACAAGGAAAAAAGTCCATATTGTTGTCAAACTTGTAATTACAAGGTAATTACACAGTAGTTATAAGGTAATTACAAGAGCTTTGGCATCATATAAAAACAACTAAAATGGCAACAGCTTTAACAATAAGGGTGCTTACAGAAAATGCCACAAATGGACTGGGATGGTGTGTTACAAAGGCGTAGAAATGCAAGATTTCAAAGTTACAGTCCATCATGCCACCAAAACTTTGATTGCATCACACCTCTGTTGACTAGTAAGAGTTTCAGAGAAATGTTTTTGGAAACAGAATTTCACACATTCCACTTCATTTCAACCGGAAAAGGCACTTTATTTACCCCTGCACATTGGTACCTTAAGGCAACATATTAATATCTTAATATGTGTAACCGCCCATTCAGTTACTTGGATCTCTGTCTATTTTGATATAGCCTAAATTTATTATAGCCATGTATTTGGTAATGTATTCATTTTTGTGTGGTTCTGAGTCTAAAGACATAAGTAGCTCGTAGTGAAATATCAGAGTTGTCATATTGTAATTATGGTAATTCCAACAAGACTTGAATGCGGCACAGTTAAAAGACAGATATTGATAAATCTGATTAGTTTCACCTGCCACAATAATCTGAACAGTAGCAGATGGGTTCCAGCTGAATGCTTTTGGACTGCAGAGAATTGTTGGCTTTCTTGAATCCTCAGCATAAACGTAACGTGAAACAAGAACTTTCTGACCCTGTGGGCTCACAAGTTCAAGTTCCACCAGATAACGGCTGCCCACATCATTGTCTTCTCGCCTTACAACATTCACCACACGCAACAGGGAGTATCCACTGTGAAGAAAAAGACACCAAATGCTATAATACCAAAAGTACATGTGCACACCACACCTTCTTCTGTATTGCCATCTTTTAATGGAGCAAAGCCTCATTCTGTACACATACTTTTGCCTAACAGATATTTGCCTCTGCTGTCACTTAAAGGGGTCATATGATGCGATTAAAATTTTTCCTTTCTCTTTGGAGTGTTACAAGCTCTTGGTGCATAAAAAAGATCTGTAAAGTTGCGAAGACTAAAGTCTCAAATCCAAAGAGATATTCTTTATAAAAGTTAAGAGTCAACCACGCCTACCTAAAACGGCTCATTCTAACACGCACCCACATATCTACATCACTATGTGGGAAGATTTGCATAACTCCGCCCAAATGTTCACGCAAAGAAAGAAGGCGTAACTTTTATTCTCACTGTAGTATTGTTGCCGCCGCCATGTCGTGAAGAGCTGTGTGTTTCGTTGTGAAAGCGAAACTACTTTGTTTGGTCCTCCAAAAGAGGACGATATCCGCTTCGTCATGCCTGGAGCTGATCCGTGCTGGTCGCTGAGGGAATACATCAACTTAGTGCTGTGGATCGCCGGATCGGCTTTCACCGTGGACGAAGCGGAGTCCAGTCCGGGGTCGTCACATGTGGTTGCCGCTCCTTCGTTGAATCCGCCGGCTGCGCCGTTCTCAAGCCCGCCGCCTCTGCTTACTCTAGCCCAGCCTCAGCTCACGCTAGACCGCCGTGTGTTTCGTTGTGAAAGCGAAACTACATTGTTTGGTCTTCCAAAAGAGGACATGACTACAAATCAGTGGTTAAATTGTATTTACAACACTGTTCCAGAACAGTTTAACCCAAATATCCAGATGTGTGCAGCACATTTTATGGAGGACTGTTTGCTGATCCTGGAAGAGTAGACTACAATGCTGGCAGTTCTGACTCACAGTCTGTAAGTACGTTTTCATTTAAAGGATTTGGCACTGATGATTCAAACGTGAGTTTTGGGCAGTGTAGAGTAGCACTTGTTGTTTGTCATTTCTCCGATCACAAATGCAGACAGGGTTTTATGTTTACGCGGCGCGATGCAACGCAACGTGTAAAAAGACAGTATAAGTCATTATAATCAGTAATTATGTCCCCACTGGATGCAACAAATGCCTCGTTTGTAATGGGTTTTAATGTTTTTGTCTCGTCGCTCCGGCCGGGACACATGGCATCAACAGTATGGTGAGGGGCGTAACATTTCCGTCACACACTTGAGGTATTTGGCCAATCACAACGCACTGGATAGCTGGCCAATCACAGCACACCTCGCTTTTTCAGACCAATGAGCTTTGTAAAATTTCAAAAAGGCGGGGCATAGAGGAGAAACAATAATGTACAGTATGTGGAAAATAATTTTTTTTACTTTAAACCACATAACCACATTTCATTACACCAAATACACAAAATAATGTTATTTTTTACCAGCATCATATGACCCCTTTAAGTTGTATAAAAGAACCAAACAAACATGATAAAAAAGTGACTCAACTTGCTCCACTTTAGGGGTAAGATGTGTCATGTCAAATTAAGGCATTGAGGTGATTTACATTTCAAATTTTGATATTCAAAAGCATTATTTCTAGAGAAATTCATAAACCAACCAGTAAAAGGTTAACAATTCTGAATATTTATCATTTTCTAAAAGAAAAGTTGCATTCTTGATAGAATATCGAAAGATTTCACCAACTTTTTGAGGCTGAAGTTTTTTCAATGCATAACTTCATCCCTATATATTTGTCTATTGATTGTCAAGCAATTTTAAATGAGAAGGGTTGAAAGAGGTAAGCACTGGACAAGATTACCGTGTCTCTTCTCTTGAATGCAGTGCTTTTAAAAAAGCTCTAACGATGGGCATGGCATGACTTTGGGACATCACAATGTTTCCAGCTGTTCTGCAGGAATTTGCCACAATGGCAGTTTGCTTTGAAGCAACACTGAGGGGTTTCACGTCATAGACGCGCTGCCAGAAAGGACCTTCACCTATTTTGGATTTTGTAAAATATGTTAGAGTGCTGAATTCATTGAGTATTATATTTGCACTATATTTAGTATATACATTGAGCCTACAAATGTAAAATTAAAGTGTTTTTGATGCATTCTAGGTTTTAGCAAATAATTTAGGGTAATGTAAATGAAATGGACTCGAACCATCTCAAATAATCACGTGTGGTTACAACGTGCTTTGTGCATACAAATGGTCCAAATTTATTTCTATTCTTTTTCACTGTTATGTAATTCTAAACATATTTGGCCAGTCTTAGATATTGTTCAAAGCTAATTTCATGTGACGGCACTGACATTAAATTTGTGGGCAGATTTTTTTTCCTACTGTCAGCATGTATAGTACAAACAAAAAATTTGTGTGAATAAATACTTGCTTATTTTGATTTTAAAAATGTTTCTGAGGTTATATCATAGGTTCTTCTGATTAGCATGAATTTCACCTTGATTTTATTAGTTGCTTTGTGAAAAGTAGTCATTAATTAAAATCCATCATTATTTATTCATATTCCTGTGAACAGTTTACAAAGCAGCATTACCTGCAATAGCCTAAAACAATGGTTAAATAGCCATTTGGCAATTAGCAGCCTTGTGGCCTAAGTGACATTAACCAAAAATAACATTTTAGTTTTGTTCACAATAAAACCGGGATTTTATTTTTCCTATCGCTTCAAGCTATGATTTTTGGAATCTTTATTTCTAAGATTAAGATTTAGAATAAGAGTTTTACCTGTATTTATCTTTTTTACATCAGGATCTTCAACCTCAGTCAGATAAGAAGCAAGTCCTTTACTAAAAAAAAAGTGAAGATGTGTACGATACATGCACAAGTAGCATTAGTTACAACAGGAAATACTGGTAAAACATGCTTATTAACTAATGTGAAGACGAAACAAGATGACTGATTAATAGAATACTGCATGCTTCATACTCTGCCTGAAATGATGGATCTTGTTTGTAGAAGCACATCTCATCATCGTTTGCATTAGTTTGCCTTGTGTAGTCATTTGGGTACACTGAAGAAAACTTAACCTACATGAACAAGAAACATGGTCAAAGATACTCATTAACTCTTTAAAGTTCAGTTATTTTACTTATTAAGATAAATAAGTGCTGTGAAGTGGTTTATTGATGATTCTCGGAAAATGTATGTGTTGTCTTTGTTTTATTTTGTGTTTCCCAGCCTCTTTAAATACTTACATTGGATTCAGACTGTAAATCGAATAAAATATGATTTATTTTGCCATGTAGCAATGTTTAACATCAGCATGCTAACATAAGCTGTAATGTTAGCGTGGTAATGCTAACACTCTCTTGGACCTTTCTGTAATGAGCACGCTAATGTTAGCGATTGTTTACAGTATATTTCACATTCTGGAGGCTGTGATTGTTCTCTAGAATCCTTCAAAATCAATTGTGCAGACATAGCTGTTATCAGGGCCAAACAATCAGCAGAAATCAGTGCTTGTAATCGAAACAGAAGTTATTTGTCAGAATCCCAGTGTAGACTTTGCAGAGATTAAAAATTATAAACTCACCAAATATACACCCTCATATCGTCCAATTTGTTCTCGGAGTATGTAACTTGGACTGTAATGGCATTCGGGAAAGAAATCTTTCAGGTTGGATTCATCAAGCATTTTGTCTGTTTAAATAGAGAGAACACGTTTGGCCTGTTTCAAAAAGAGATCAGGCAAGAGTATTCTTCAAATTGCCGTTTAAAATTTTGATAAGGCTGACATTTATAGATGTGATCCCGTGGGTCTTCTCTGATCATGTCTCCTGCAGAATGGGGTGGCATGGGAATCGGCTGAAGGAGCCTATCATAACTTGCTTTCGTTTGAGGTATGTGATCAATATCTCCCATTTGTAGAGAAGATTCATCTGACAAAAGAAGCGAATCTACATGTTGTCAACAAGTCCTGTAAAAGTCATAAAAGTCAATATTGATACGCAGGCAAGAACTTGTCTTTGTTAAGCCTGAATCTCCTTTCTGTTGCAACTATACATAACACCTTACAGATGTTATGCCTTACAGATGCCTTCATAACAACACATCAACAACATTTGGCAAAACTTTGACCATTCCTCTAACTGGGTTCATAATTTTGTCATTTTAGGACAACCATACCTTCATATAATGACAGAAGCTCAGAGGTTATCACAGAAAAAGTGCCATTGTCACGGTTTAAACTCCACTGCAGGAAATAAAATGTACAATTTTAGGTTCATTGTTCAAGCTAAATTGTCTAACACATACACATATACTGTAGTACATACAGCTATTTCCAGATGATCCATTCCTCTGTTCTGTTTTAAAAGGATTTCAAAAAAATATTTCATGTCTTTCACTAACCTAAGAAAGAAAGAGACCCTATATTAAAGCATGATACAGTTTTTTTCGAGTATGCTTTTGAAAAAATAAAATTATAAAAAAATAAAATAAATTTTTCATACAAAACAGGTTTGGATATCTGGGATGCAAATTTCCAGTACTCGCCTGGAGCAGTCCATTCATTTCCTGTCTGATTCAGAACAGAAACATGCCACAATCATAATCAAAGAGATTAAATTTTTCCTTTAACAAAATATCAAAGAGTATTTGGACATTTAAGACACATTTAATGCCTATATGTGACCCTGGACCACAAAACCAGTCATAAGGGTCAATTATTTTAATTTAGATTTATATCGTCTGAAAGCTGAATAAATAAGCTTTCAATTGATGTGTGGTTTGTTAGGATAGGACAATATTTGGCCGAGATACAACTATTTGAAAATCTGGAATCTGAAAAAAAAAAATCTAAATATTGAGAAAATCGCCTTTAAAGTTATCCAAATGAAGTTCTTAGCAATGCATATTACTAACCAAAAATTAAGTTTTGATATATTTACAGTAGGACATATACAAAATATCTTCATGGAACATTATTTTCCCTTAATATCCTGATGATTTTTGGCATAAAAAAAAATCTATAATTTTGACCCCTACAATGTATTTTTGGGTATTGCTACAAATATACCCCAGCGACTTAAGACTGGTTTTGTGCTCCAGGGTCACATATATGATTGTATATACTGTACTTAAATTTTAGACTAAGTGGGATCAGTGAACAATTGATGCAGGAGCTTTTTTTCCTATGTATTAATTGCATATTTAATATTAAAAGCATATTTAAATATGCAGTATCGTTAATAAAAATTTTACTTGGATTCAAATACAGAATAATAGAGTTTTTATAAGATGATATTAAAGGGTTCGCCTAAACATGAAAATTCAATAACACTTTTATTAACTACACTTTTTTAAAACACTTTTATCACTATTAACTAGTTGCTTATTAGCATGCCTATTATTATAATATTGGCTATTTATTAGTACTTATAAAGCACATATTCTGCATGACCATATTCTACATCCCTAATCCTGCCCAATACCTAAACTTAACAACTACCTTACTAACTATTAATAAGCAGCAAATTAGGAGTTTATTTCAAAGTTGTAGTTAATGGTTTGTTAATAGGGACAGGGATGGGCAGTATTTCAGATACATGTATTTAAAATACATATTTGAAATACAAAATTCTATTTTGTATTTTAAAGCCTTCGGCAAAAATCAAATGTAATTTGTATTTAAATACATTTAAGATTAGTATTTTTGTATTTTCAAAATACATTAAATACTTTGTGCCAGTCAACCTCTTTATCAGGGTGCTGATTTAGTGCAGACACACCCCCTCCCCCAACCCCAAAATTCCTCACGTGAGCTGCAGATGTACAACTCCATTCAGTATTGGGTGAATTTTTTTTTTTGGAATAAGATAAGGTGAGGATGTCATGGTCAATTGTACATGTTGATTAAAGTTAAAATCATTCAGATTTGCCGTCAGTTAACATGAAAGAATAAAAGAGCACTGACAAGGGGAAAATTAGCGTTAGCCAATCAGTTTTAATAGTTAATCGATTGTTGTTTTTTATCAACTAGCTTGTCAGGCTAGGTGTCCAGTGGTTGATAAATAAATATTTGATTTCTGAATATTGTACCCTAATTGAAGTAGCTGTTTAAAAAGGATCATGATTTTGCATGCCATTGCATGAATGACTGCCTGACACATAATACATTATTATATTTATGACTAACAATCAAATGATTAAGTAGTTAGAAACTAGTTGCTATGAATACCTGTATATCACTTGTCTTCTTATGAATGAGTTGTTTGTCATTGAGTCAGTGTTGCTGATGCAAAGTAGGCCCTTTGTTACCAAACACCAAGTAACTAAATTAGGATACAATTATGAGTCATTCGCAAACTGTTAAACATTAAACTGTTGGTTACTTTAAAACTAATCTTCATCTGGGAGATCACAGTGATATGTGAATATTTGATCTGTTAACTGGTTGCATATGTCAGATTTATTGCATGACTCGGGCAGAGAAAAGCTGTTGCTATCAAACATTGTTCACTTGTTCACAAACATCAGTGTATTGGTGAAGAGATAGATCAAATAGGCTAATTGATGGAAGGTTTGTGAAGAAATTTCATGCTCCTTTGTAAAAGTACTTTTTAGTATTTTTAAAATACAAAAATACAGTAGTTTATTTTGATACTTGGTGTAGCTGCTGTATTTTGTAGTTTATTTTGATACACTTAAAATTAAGGTATTTGGTATTTTATTTTAAAATACATTTTGATGTATCTTTGCCCAACCCTGAATATGGAGAATTGGACCTTTAAATGAAGCGTGACCAAAAATTCTGTCATCAACCCTCAGGTCGTTCCAAACCTTTTTGACTTTCTTTCTTTTTTGGTCATAAAAAAAGCTAATTTTGAGAAATGTTTTAGTGTTTTTTGGTCATCAATGGACATCAAAACTGTTTGGTTATCAAAACTCAGAAGAAAGAACAAAGCAAAGGTATTCAAAAATCCCAATTAATGTGGATTCGAAAACATTTTCTCTACATTTTGACCTTTTGTCTACACTGAGACAGTGGAAAAAAAAAGTAAACTGCATGTGGGTTTGGAATGACATCAGGGTGAGTAAATAAATACAGAATATTTTTATTATTATTATTAATTGACATAAATTGCATCATTTAAACTTGTATTCGTGTGTGATATGTTCACTTCCATTATAAACTCATCTACTTGAATCTCTAACAAACACATCCACATTCAGACCAGACATTACCTCACCAACATAGACGAGGCGTTGAAGGTTTTCTGGACTTTCGTTTAAACTGAGCCAGAACTCTGAGTTATCATCAGAGGAAACAGCAAAAATGTATTCATCTAAAGGCAGAACAATATCAGTGCATTTGTTAACCACCTCTACAAATGTTTAATTGAATTCAATATATAATGAAACAGATTTATTTTCATGCTGGACCCACCAGTTACTTCAGGATGGAGGTAGCCAAAGATTCTCAGACCGTAATTGCTCCATTGAGGGGACACAGCAAGCCTGCTTACTGTAGTACGCACCTTAAAATAAACCCATGATATTATATTATACACGAGACTATCATTTATAATAGTATACAACTAAATATGTATAGAACTAACATTGGGAAATAGCGGATAGAGCAGGTTATTCCTAAGTTGATCAAGAGATCCACCGCAGCAGTCTTCAAAAACGTGCATGTTCACTCGTCCCTGAGGAGGAAATAAAAATGCTCTAGGTTGCCTTAAAGCCATGATAGAATAAAATGGTTGCAACTGGGATGTATTTGCATAAATGGAAAACAGCTATTGCTTTTACATTTGAAAAGTCCAGACTTTAAGTCTAACAGTTTTAGGCTTCACAAACTCTTGCCTATAGTTAAGTGGTTCTCTATATAAGGTAAGACATTTTCTCCAGGATATTTGCTATAATGTAATTATGACAAAGATGCTTGTTTTCTTTTCTTTTAGATTTTTTTCTTTTGATTTAACAGAAATTGGGAGGGTTGATATATTAATGAAATGAACAACAATTCTTTCTGTGATTCCTTACATTTCATGATTCATTATGTTTAAAAATAAAATATATTCAAATAAAATAAATAACAAATTGTCGTATTTCAGCATTTCAGTTCAGTTATATTATTTTAATATATTATTAATAGAATATTAATTTTAGTCTTCATTTTTTCCCCTTTAAATTTCTTTAAAGAAGTCTTTACATTTCTTCTTTAAATCTTCTTTAAATGTATTTTTCTTGAAGAAAGGTAATGTCTTTTGTGGATCAAAACTTGAAAGAATATTACAAAAAAATATTAAGAATTCTCTCTTTTTCTCTCACAATGCACTTAATAAAAGAAATCCTTATATGTTTTGATTGGCTGTTGGTCATCAGCAATATTTTTCTTAGGACAGTCACAGGAAGAAAAAAAGCATTAAAATCAGGGGAATGAGAGAAATTGTCTTGTTTCTTGTAAAAATGTTCATACATGAATGACAAGTCAAGTCAACAATCTTACCTGGATCTCCTGTGCATCAGCAGGTTCATCGTCTAGAGGTGATTCTGTCTTTTTGATATCTTTGTTGATGTTTGTTTTTGCAGGCCCTTGAGGAAGAAAAAATATACAAAGTCAAAATTTGCAAATGCATCTGCATTTGAATGGCTTACATACTGGAATCACACATTCAGTGGTGGCATTGTACTATATCGTATGATGCATTATCATCCTGTACAAAGCCATCTTTACAGTATATTTGTTTTATAAATTCAGAAGTAAACAATCACTATTCTTAACAGGAGCATCTTCCCCATTTTTCCATACATACTGCTATAAACCACTACAAGTTGAAAGTCAAATGTCCTATGGGTGGCGCCAAAACGCGAATACAGAAGTACAGAAGAAAATACCTCTCAAAATAATTTAATTAATTATAAGTAACTATTTATTAATCAATTATTTATTATTAAATTATTATTCTTATTCTTACCAAAACTCTAACTTTAATACTATCTGAATGTTAATTTTACAAATTTATATATATAAGTGCTACAGAAAAGTGTGCATTCTACAAGAGCAACAGAAAAACCTTCAGCAAAACATCTGAATTGGGATAACTGACACAAACAAGCAAGCAAACAAACAAACAAACCCTAACTAAAAAAAAATCCTAATAACTCATAACCTTCCCCTGTAATCTTGATTTGTTTCAATGAGAGTAAAGGTTATAGCACTTTTAGTGTCACAGTGGATATTTTACACAGGGTCTCTGAAAACTGAGCAAAGACAACTAAAATATAGTTAAATGAAGGGTGGAGTTGCAGAAAATGGCAAAGCTTATGAAACATTACACCTTATAGTCTCATTCAGTTAATAAATGTATACTGTAGATCTGACATTTTATGAATGGCTAATTTTAACAAATCAATCCTATTCCTCAGTTTTGTGCTTGCAAACTGTTTCTAAATTATCTGGCATCTTTAACTGGATCTTGGGACTTGATCTCCATTACATAAGAAAATGACTGAATATCAGAGAATATCAGACAATAAAAGTTTGAAGAAAGACTAAAAAAGCATAAAACATCAGCCAAAAATTAAAGAAAACAAACAAACCCTAACTAAAAAAAAATCCTAATAACTCATAACCTTCCCCTGTAATCTTGATTTGTTTCAATGAGAGTAAAGGTTATAGCACTTTTAGTGTCACAGTGGATATTTTACACAGGGTCTCTGAAAACTGAGCAAAGACAACTAAAATATAGTTAAATGAAGGGTGGAGTTGCAGAAAATGGCAAAGCTTATGAAACATTACACCTTATAGTCTCATTCAGTTAATAAATGTATACTGTAGATCTGACATTTTATGAATGGCTAATTTTAACAAATCAATCCTATTCCTCAGTTTTGTGCTTGCAAACTGTTTCTAAATTATCTGGCATCTTTAACTGGATCTTGGGACTTGATCTCCATTACATAAGAAAATGACTGAATATCAGAGAATATCAGACAATAAAAGTTTGAAGAAAGACTAAAAAAGCATAAAACATCAGCCAAAAATTAAAGAACCTAATCCAGCCATAATACATAAAGGTAACTTACCAGCAGGCAAAATGTTTTTTTGTGCTCCCAAAGATATGAAAACATAAATCATAATACATATAACGAGTAGAAAAAATAAATACAACATCACCTTGCGGTGGTGAAAAGTTCTCACAGTAAACATTCTGCTAGACTATGAGCCCGGTATGATGTCTAGGATGTATTAAGCTACGATTTAGACATCATTGTCTCACACAAAAACCGGCTGAACAAGATAGGAGTAGGTTTGTGTGGCGAGGGTTAGTTAAATGTCCTTTTGGCACTAGTCCAGAATCTCTCTCTCTACATTTTGCACTAGATCTAAATCTGACTGGGTAGATCTTACACTCATAAGAAAAATGGTTCTAAACAGTACCAGAAAAGGGTTCTTCAGCTTGTAAAAATAGCAGAACCCTTTTTGGTGCTAAATAGAACCCTTTTTATAGGGTTCCATAAAGAACCATGCTTTGAACGTGCTATATAGGACCTTAAAGGTGCTATAAATAACCTTTTTAATTATAGTTTATTTTCATTAATATTAGTATATTTATATCATTAATATTAGTTTTATTAATATTATCTGAATAAAGTATTTATTACTATTGCTTTTTTACCCCTCTATCTGCCTATTTTGTGTTTATTTTATTATTAAAGTTTTCTTTGAACGTTCGCCGGTTCCTGCCTCCTTCTTCCCGATCTTCAAACCGAAACCTGGGAGGAAGGAGGGACGAGTCGGTGGTGCTGGAACGACGAGGTGGGACGGAGAGCTCGCTGCCGCGCTCCTGGGTCGAGGAGGGGTGGCTGCCATCTGAGAGGGAGCGGAGGAATCGGCCCCGTTCGCCAGGAGGCCGGAGCCTGCTGCCGTCCGCCTCGCTGCCGGATGCCCTCAACAGGAGGAGCCATCGCCGTGCGCCAGGAGTTGTGGAGTTGTGGGCCGTCCACCAAAGATGTCCAGTACTATCGCATGGCACCGCGAGTGAGAGCCTCTCAGCTGGTTGAGGACCAAGCGGCAGTGTGTCTGGGAACCGGACCGATAATTTTTTTTCCTCTCTCCCCTCTCTCGTATCTGTCTCTCCTCATCCTTCCGTCTCCTTTTCTCTTGCCTCGTCTGTCTGTCTTTACCTCCAGGTACGCCGCGGCCACCGTGATCGGCTCCCCCAGAGGGGGGGAGCAGAACGCAGTCTCGGGAGTACCCCCCGGCCTGCGAGGGGCGATGGGGGTATGTGACGAGTGGGGGCGGGGCCGAGAGCCATGGGAATGGAGCGAGGCCGGTGGAGTAATTGATAATGAGCGACACCTGCACCACTCACCGGTCTCAAGTCCCACAGAGGAGCTCCGGAAGGATAAAAGGAGGAGCTATGACAGTGAAAGACGAGAGAGGACCAGGCCTGGATTTTATTTAGTGTTTTGGTTCTGTTTATGCTGTTCTGTTTGTTTTGTAAAGTATGGAGTGTCCTAGGTCCTCTGCTATTTTAAATATACATGTTACCCCTTGGTAATATTATTAGAAAATACGGGATTCATTTCCATTGTTATGCTGATGATACTGAACTATATATTTAAAAAAAAACAGATGAAACTTCTAAATTATCTAAGCTAACCGAGTGTGCTAAAAATGTATTAGCCTATTAAATTCGGATAAGACAGATATTACTTATTGGACCAAAAAACAATACACAGAATCTCATAGATTACAATTTGCATCTAGACAGATGTACTGTTACTTCCTCTACAGTCAAAACATTGCCAAGTTATGGAACATGCTACCTGTTTCTGATGCAGAAAAGCTAGTTCATGCATGCATGACCTCTAGACTAGACTATTGTAATGTACTGCTAGGTGGTTGTCCTGCATCTTCAATAAACAAGCTACAGGTAGTCCAAAATGCAGCTGCTAGAATCCTTACTATAGGTCAAGAAAATATGATCATATTACCCCAATTTTACATTCTCTGCACTGGCTAGCTATTAAGTTCTGTATCAGTTCCAAAATATTACTACTTTCTTTTAAGGCCCCAAAGAGTGGATTCTTGACAGGTCATCTGCCTTTGCATTCTTTGAACCTGGACGATAGGAGATTTGGAAGTCAAATTGAGTAAAGAAAAGTGCCCAATGGGCCTGGTGAGGATTGAGACGTTTAGCTTCAACCAAGAAACTCAACTCCTCAAGGGCGAGCTTGATGGCAAGTAGTTCTTGATTCCCGATGTCATAGTTTCTATCCGCTAGGCTTAACTTTCGGGAGAAGGCGGCGCATGGATGGAATCTTGGGGCCGTCCCCTGAGAAGACCAGGACAGAGACTTAGGCTTACTATGGCGTTGGGAGGTTAGTGGGCTGGTGATGGATGATTTGTAGCACTTTCTTTTGTAGAGAAGTAATTTTTGATTGTGATTGCTCTTAGTCGATTGTAGATGTCTTAAATTCTCATGTTGGTTATAAGTGGCAGATGCTGAACGAGCAGCATAGCACACTGCACGTGAGCGTTGACGATCTATGGTAGGTCGCTTTATTTTGTAAAACGATTAACAGTATAACTTTGTACACACTAAGCTGACACCCTTTTATATAAGAGTGTTAAAAGAGTCATCTCTTCTCTAGGAAGTAATATGGTGATAATTGTAGCCCTTTAATGTTGTGTGATCAGCTAAAATTATGATATTTATTAGGTATTATTAAAATGTTTATTGTGAGGCTAGGATACCTAGCATTTTAATACTGTTGTCTATAATACATTTATAGAAAGTGGTTTCTATTTGAAATTGTAATGTTTGTTTTTCTTTTTATATTTGTGTAATTAAATTAGTTGTCCAGATTGAGAATGTGGGACTGCATAACATGGGTTAACAAATTGTGATTTGTTGTTTAATGTTGTTTTCTCTTTTTAGAGTTGTTTTGGTCCAGCTCAATTGATCACTGTTTTCCCTCCTTGAAATTGTATTTTTTGTTTTTGTGAATTGTATATTTTGTTTCCTTTTACTTTTGTTGTTGGCCCATGACTATTGTTTGTTCTGTTTATTTTACATGCCAACTAGGCCATTACTGGCAGCTTTACTTATTGTAGCTATATAGGGGGGAAGTATATTCACCATCACATGTGTGCTGTGGTTTTGTATTTCATGCTTTGAGGTGCTATGTATGAAAATTGAACTTTGTTTTTTGTGGGGTTTATTGTATTAATCCATTTTTTTGGTGCATTTCATTTTTATTTTCTTTGAGAGTGATATATTATCCTCTGCAGTTATTTGTGTTTCCATCTTGCATGAGTAAATTGAGCCAGTTTTGAAGCTAAACTATTTGATTACTTGGTTAATAAAATTTAAACTGTTTATAGTAATTTTGCCTTAAGGAAATTAATTTATTTGAATAGCCATGTGGGAAAACCCTTTACATGGCCTGGGATATCCCTCCCAAATAAAATTGGAGTGGCGTAGTCAAGAATAGTGAATAAGAGTACTTACTCTCTGTCTCACCTAGGGATATGCCGGTATCAAATTTTCATGTCGCAATTAATTGCTAATGCTTTTATCACGGTATACGGAATTATCACGATGTTGAAATTTAGTAAAAAAAAAAAAAGTGCTGTCATAATACAGTTTAACAGGTTTAATAACTTTTTTCTTATAACAAAAATAACTGAACATTTAAATGCAATAAAGCAATACAGAAAAATTTATAAAGTTAAAAGTTTTACACAGATTAAAGTGCAAAAGAACTATAAAGACCAATAGGTATCACTTTACAATAAGACCTCATTAGTTAACCTTAGTTAATGCATTAACATTCACAATGAGCAATAGCTACATTTGCTGCAGAAGTTATTAATCTTTGATTAAAAAATACAAGTCTTAGTTCATGTTGACTCATTAAATAACACAGTTGCAACTTTCAATTTTAACAACCTGTTATTAAATATTGGAATACCTAAGATTAATGAATGTTCAGAAGAATTTTTCATTGGCAGTTTGTTAACTAATGAATTAACTAATGTTAACTAATGAAGCCCTAATGTAAAGTGTGACCGAACAAACATTTTTAGATTTTCAAAAAAAACCTCATTCTGAATGATTTATAAGCCTTTTAAATTACGGGGACACTCAAAATGTCCTCATAAATCACCTTCTCATTGTAATACTTATGTCATACCCATGTCATTATACAAATTTGTGTCCTCATAAACCACATAAACATGCGCACGCACACACACACACACACACACATAGGTTTGTTTTTGTGAAAAGTGGGGGCATACCATAGGTGTAATGGTTTTTATACTGTACAAACTGTAGGTGCTATTGCCCTACACCAACCCTACCCCTAAACCTACCCCTTACAGGAAACTTTCTGCATTTTTAGATTTTCAATACACTCCATTCTGTGTGATTTATAAGCGTTTTGAAAAGTGGGGACATGGGGTAATGTCCTGAAAAGTCACCTTCTCCTTGTAATACCTATGTCATACCTTTGTCATTATACAAATTTATGTCCTCATTTGTCACAAAAACGCGCACACACACATATACACACACAAAATATTATTATACATACACACAAATGAGCTGGTGTGGCTGCTACAATATTGCAAAATTGAGCCAGAAGACTCAAATAAGGGGTTGAAATCAGATTGATTAATCTCTGATAAAGCATTCCTGTTCATAATTGTTGAACTTTGATGTTATGTGTAAATCACGCTACAATCCATCCCGCTCCCTTAAGGTCGCACAACTCTGGACTCTTGGTAGTTCCTAGGACAGCAAAGTCCACTAAAGGAGGTAGAGCTTTTTCACATTTGGCTCCCAAACTCTGGAATAGCCTTCCTGATAATGTTCGGGTTTAAGACACACTCTCTCTGTTTAAATCTAGATTAAAGACATATCTCTTTAGCCAAGCATTCACATAATGTATCTCATAACCTTGTACTTCAGTTACATCTGATCAAATGCACATTAACATTCTTTTGCTTGGGTTGAACATATAATTTTTTGCTTAGTTGGAACAGCAGCTACGCTAACTTTTTCTCTATTTCCTTCTATGTTTCTGTAACTAGGAATTACACAAGCTTCAGTCTGGATCCAGCCCTTACAAAGACCTCAGATGACCAAACACCTGAGAAGAGATGATGCCAACCCCTCAGAAGACCTCAGATGATGCCACCCCTCAAACAACATACAAAACGACCAAATGTTGCTATAGGTTTGATCACAACATGTACTCATTGCTGTTAAAAGTGTTCACCGTCTGTTTGATTACATCATTAACTAACTGCTTGATTTTTTCTGATATAAATGCACATCAACTTGAGATAGTCACTGATAAGCTATTACTAAATATAATGTAGAAACTTTAATTTTCTGTAAAGCTGCTTTGCAACGATTTGGGTCATGAAAAGCGCTATACAAATAAACTTGAATTGGATTGAATTTCTTTGTTTTCAGGTTTGACTGTAGTAAAATTAATACAAAAACTGACATTTCAAACCAACATTTCAAACACATAAAAATCTAAACCTTTACAAAATGTTGTCTTTGAGAATGTCCAAATATAAATCCAAATCCACAACTTAAAAAAAGTATTATGTCTAAAAACAACTAGAGAATTTATAAGTCTTTTATATAGAGCTCTATAGGAATCTAATGGCTAAACCAGGCAAGTTTTTTGCTTTTTTTACTCCCACCTGATGGAACTAATCTGCCTGAAAAAAAAAGGATTTTAAAGGCACTGTCTTTTGAAATATTGCCATAATTGAAAAGTAATAGAAAAAATTATACTATTTTCAATGGGGAAAATTGATCATAATTATTGCAGAAATATTAAAAAGTACCATGAAATATTATTGTTAAACTAGTTGATTGCACTAGTTCATCATCTACGGTGTGACTGAAAGTGTTTGTAAATGCCCGTGTGAATGACCAGTTGGTGCTATGTAAGAACAAGAATTATGCATGCTTTACTGTAATAGGTTTTATAAAGTCATTCATAGTAAAGATACTGTTAAAGAAGCCATCGCTGCAGCGCCCTTCTCTAACATCATACTTTTTTGCAGAGGTACTACATACACGGTTTACAATTTTGCACTGCAGTATAGCCCATGTCTTGCACAGATTGATGTATTCTGTGTAGTACAGATTCCCAGTCCTCATCAGAAATGACCATACCCAGATCTTCTTCCCACAAAACTTTTATATGACGATATGAATGAAATGGGGTCAGAATTTTACAGTAAAGTGTTGATATAATGGCTTTCCATCTTAAGGGTTCCTCCAATATATGACCAAAAGGAGAGCAAGGAGGCAAAACAGGGAACTGTGGGAACATTTTACATACAAAATCACAAATCTGGAGGCAGTGAAAAAATTATTCTTAGGAATGATAAACCGCTTGCATATCTGCTGAAATGAGCAGAAAGTCCCTTCACAATATAGTTTGTTAGAACATCTGATGCCTTTGTCCTGCCAAGATATGAGAGACTTATCCATTATTGAGGGATTAAAGATATGATATATAGGGGATTTAGGGGACATAGTCTGCCATCCAAAATGACGTCTCATCTGTTTCCCAATTTTAAGTCTAGATCTTACAAGTAGGTTTTTAGTAAATAGTAAAAGGAAGAGGGGCATAAACCAGAGCTGCTAGGGAAGAAGGAAAGCATGAGACAGACTCAATGATTACCCATAACAAAGCATCAGCCCCAGGACCTTCATAGAGCCAGTGCAATATGGGACGAATATTTGAGGCCCAGTAGTAACACTGGGCAGAGTCATACCACCCACAGGCAGAGGACATTGTAAAAGAATTTTACTCAATCTGGCAGATTTACCACTACATATAAATGAGGAGATAGCACTGTCTAGTCTACGAAAAAATTAGTTGGGAATCAACAATGGGATGCATTGAAACAGATAGGTAAACTTAGGTAGTACATTCATTTTAACTGAGCTGATAACTTATAATGGGAGTGTGGCCCAATGCTTTAAATCCTGTTCAACTTGCTCCAGTAAATGAAGAAAGTTTTCAGTGAAAAGTTTAGAAAAGTTATTGGTCACTCGTATACCAAGGTATGTACAGTAAATGCATAGGAAACTTTAAATGGGAAGGAACCCAAAGAAGACTTCTGGGCAGCATCATTGATAGGGAATGTTTAACTTTTCTGTAAATTCAATTTATAGCCAGAAAGCCATCCAAACATATAAAAATTTTTGAGAGCATGGGGCAAGGATTCAGATGGGTTAGAGACATATAAAATCAAATCATCTGCGTACAAGGAAACTTTATGTTCTCGACCTCCACAAAGGACAAAGACCTCACTGGTTAGCAGGTGAACATTCAGCCTCCAAATTGGGCAATGTATGTATCTACACTCAAACCTCAGGCCTAAAGTAAGAGGAGAATGATCTGAAATAACAATTGCATTCATGTATAGTGCTGGACCAGAGGCAAGAGCGGGTTATTAAGTAAAAAGCAATCGATGTGGGAAAAAGACTGATGAGCATCGGAGAAAAAAAATAACTATGTACAGATGGATTCAGATACCGCCAAATGTCTGTTACGGCATAATCATTTAGAAAGGAATGTATTTTTTTCGCTTACTTCGAGAGGGATGTTCCTCTCTGATAAACTCTGTCAAGGTGGGGATTTAGACAGAGGTTGAAGTCCCCGCCAATAATTAGAAAGCTAGAATGTAGATTTGGTAAAGCAGAGAAAAACTTAATGGAAAAAATTGTTGTCATTAAAATTAGGTGCATATTTAGGCCTATTAGCCAATACCACAGGGGTATTAAACAATAACCCAGACACTATGATATATTCCATTATGGTCAGCCAGCACATCTGTGATTGTGAGACCCATTTTCTATATAATTTAGTGTGATCAGAGACATTGAGATGGGTCTTCTGCAAAAAGACAACTTTAGCATGTACAGTCATGGCCAAAAGTTTTGGCAGTGACATAAATTTTGTGTTTTGCAAAGTACGTTGCTTCAGTATTTGTAGATTATTTTTCCACATGTTTCTATGGTATACTGGAAAACAATGATAAGCATATCATAAGTTTTAAAGGCTTTTATTGGCCAAAAAACATAATGAGTCAATATTGACAGTGTTGACTCTTGTTCTTCATAACCTCTGCAATTCGCTCTGGCATGCTGGATATTAGCTTCTGGGCCAAATCCTGACTGATGGCGATCCATTCTTGCCTTATTAGTTCTCGGAGTTGATCACGATTTGTTGGCTTCTGCTTGTCCACTCGCCTTTTGAGGACTGACCACAGGTTCTGCCAGAAAGACTCAGGAGGTGAAGATAAACCTCAAAAGCATTTAATTTACAAAACCAATACAAAGAACATAAATATTTTGGCGTAGGCCCCATCCGTAGCTTGAATCTGAAGTTGCAGATTCCAGCTATTCCTGCTGAAGACGAAGGCAGGGCGGAGCCTACCCCCGCATGGGCGGGATCAACCTGGTGGTGGTGGGGAGGATGAAGGGAAACGACAGCGGCAGTATCTGCAAACACAAGGAAGGGTGAGTAGAGGGCTTTTATATTCCTCGTGTTGAGTGTCGATTGGCTAGATCTGATTGTAATATGTGATGTAGCATTAAGTCTTCCTAGTAGAACTTGCGCTGACGCTGAAGCTGACTCCTCAGGAGGAGACGGTCCTGGCACTTGCTGGACACTCTGGGATGTCCTGAAGACTTCTTCACTGCAGTCAATCCTCTCTCCTTGAAGTTCTTGATGACCCGGTAAATGATTCTTTCAGGTGCAATATTCTTTGTAGCAATTTCCTTGCATGTGAGGCCATTTTGTTGCAAAGCGATGATGGCTGCACATGTTTCTTTGGAGGTAACCCTTGCTAACAAGAACAGAATGATTGGAAGCGCTTCTTCCCTCCATCAGTCTGCTCTTACAGTCTATGATAGTGATTTTACCTGACTAGAACTCATTCACACCTTCAGTCTGAAGCTTGGCCACAGTATTTTCAAGGATTGTCACTCGCGGCCGTTGCACGGCTCTCAGCCATTTTTCATGCAAGCCAAGAGATTGCTGTATTGTAGCAACAGCCGAAGCTAACTCTCCCTTAACAACATTAAAGCAACACCATGTAACTTTTGCTCACGATTCCTCCATGTGGTTGATAAGCGCAATTGTCTGTTACCAGTGTCGTAAATACTGTCGCTGTATAAGCTTGCCCGTGGGCAGTGCAAAACACATTAATTTATTGAACTAAGCTGACGGAACCGGTGAATGGAGAAACCTCGTTTGGAAACTATGTCCACTGACCAGGTAAGTAGCCTGTGTTACACTATGTTCTACAAATATCATTACATCTCTGGGACGTCCTGAAGACTTCTTCACTGCAGTTGATCCTCTCTCCTTGAAGTTCTTGATGACCCGGTAAATGATTCTTTCAGGTGCAATATTCTTTGTAGCAATTTCCTTGCATGTGAGGCCATTTTGTTGCAAAGCGATGATGGCTGCACATGTTTCTTTGGAGGTAACCCTTGCTAACAAGAACAGAATGATTGGAAGCGCTTCTTCCCTCCATCAGTCTGCTCTTACAGTCTATGATAGTGATTTTACCTGACTAGAACTCATTCACACTTTCACATGTGCTGTTGATATGATTAGTTAATTAATGTTAGCTGGCCATTTTGTGTCAGGATCAAAAAACAGTGACATTTGTTTTTGCTTGTTTTTGTGAAAAGTTCATTTTTTTTGGCCAATGAAGCTTTTAGCAATTATTTAAAATGCATCTGATCACTCTACACCAGGGGTGTCAAACTAAATTCCTGGAGGGCCGGCGCCCTGAAGAGTTTAGATTCAACTCTAATTAAACACACCTGATCCAAATAATCAAGTCCTTCAGGCTTATTTGAAAACTACATGGTATGTGTGTTGGAGCAGGATTGGAACAAAATTGTTTGGAATTGAGTTTGACACCCATGCTCTACACAATAATCTAGAAACAATGTGAATGAACACCACAACAGCTTAAGCAGCAAACTTTGCAAAACACTAAATTTATGTCACTGCCAAAACTTTTGGCCGCGACTGTATACTATCCAGATGAGAAATCCCATTGTTAAGTTTAGAAGGATGACCAAGACCTTTCACATTCTAAGTTATAAATATACAGGTGGAAAAAATATACTGAAGATATAAGTAGAGATATTAAACATGAGGAAAGACAACAAATTGTACAATGTATGATAACATATGGCCACATTGTAAAAAATAAATAAATAAATAAAATAAAGAAACTGAAAATCATCCAACCTGTAACCCCCACCCACATCAACACCTCCCTTAACCAGGTGTATACAAAACCCCATAAAATAAAAATACAGAGAAGATGAACTTGAACAAGCGCATGAACAGGTGAACAGATACAAGAAAAATACATAGACCAAATCATGGTATAGATAACCATCATGTTAACTATTAATATGGAAACAGAGTGCGAAGTATTTGCAATAAGTGAGAAAATTATGAAAAATCTCCCACTAATGAAATTGAGTTAACCAAATCCATAGAGATATGGAGATAAAGTACCTTGCATGATTGCGTGACCAACAATGTCCGACTGTAGCTACAAAGCAGAAGGCAACTATGGAATTCTGAACATTATGAGCAGTTTGCAGCTACTCTGGTGAGTTCGCCGCTCCGTTTGAGTCTGATGCCTGGGTGTTTCTTACATATTCCATCGCCTTCCGAGGATCCGTGAAAATCTCCGCCTGGCAGAATGATCTGAAATCTGGCAGGGTGACGAAAGCCAAAACGAGCACCTTGAACAATCCGTAGATCACACCTCACCAAACGCCGCTCCTTTCTTGGCCTCACTAGTTGTGAGATCAGGAAAGACAAAGACAGATTTTCCTTTATAGGTTACCGTCCACTCTGGCGAGCCCACTGTAAAATCTGTTCACAGATGTGGTAGAAATGGACCCTAATAATGAACGCCTAGGTGGCTGACTGGGTTTGGGCTGAGATTGTAGAGACCTATGGGCTCAACTGAGCAGTGGTTTCTCTTCCAAGTTCAGCAGGTCGTGGAGGATGTTCGAAACAAATTATGTCAGACGGTTGCCCTCTTCTCCCTCTGTAATTCCGACCAACATGATGTTATTTCTCCTTGACCTACTTTCGAGGTCCTCACACTTTAAGGACAGAGCATTAACTTCAGTCTGAAGCTTGGCCACAGTATTTTCAAGGATTGTCACTCGCGGCCGTTGCACGGCTCTCAGCCATTTTTCATGCGAGCCAAGAGATTGTTGTATTGTAGCAACAGCCGAAGCTAACTCTCCCTTAACAACATTAAAGCAACACCATGTAACTTTTGCTCACGATTCCTCCATGTGGTTGATAAGCGCAATTGTCTGTTACCAGTGTAGTAAATACTGTCGCTGTATAAGCTTGCCCGTGGGCAGTGCAAATCACATTAATTTATTGAACTAAGCTGACGGAACCGGTGAATGGAGAAACCTCGTTTGGAAACTATGTCCACTGACCAGGTAAGTAGCCTGTGTTACACTATGTTCTACAAATATCATTACATATTTTTATTTATTGTTACTCCAGAATTCAAAACTAAAATGACAAAAAGAATGGTAGTATGTTTGCCTAGTTTTTTTTGCTTGCATAGTTCGTATGTAGCATTGTTTGCAAAGGGTGTAAATTGTATAATAGAATAAAATGTTGTCTGCATAATAATGTAGCCATAACGTCCATAATAGCCTATACATCGGACATTGTCATACGTTTATAAGGCTGTAAAATAACAGAACCTCTTTATTTGAATAACCGTTCAGACATGAAGTAGACTGGGGAATTAGTTTTTGAATCTTGGGTGTCGAAACAGACATGGTACACATGGTACAGCTCGCTCCAATGAGTGTAAGCCCGTCCGATATTGATTTGTGTCCGATCACTCTCTCTCTTTCTTTTCTTTGCTTCCTCCGACAATTCCCTTTTTGGTGTCTTTGCTTGCTCTGCCATGGCATTGGTTTTGAGACTTGCATATAAGATCGTTTCGTCTTATAGTTAGCTGTTGGCTAACTCCACACAAGCTACGAGTAAAATATGTGACGTAAGCCGTAAAGCAGGTCGCACTCTTCCACTGGCAGGGGATGGGCGGGGCTGTGTGTCCCGACCCGAATACAAAACTTACAGAGTGTGGTTCTAGCAGCTAGGAGGCTGCTCAGGTATCAGTGAAGGTAGAATTCACCTGAAATACCACTGAAATAATTTTAGAGACATTTTAAGGTCGAAAAACTACATAGTGTTGCTTTAATGTCTGCCTGCAGACCGCAAATCACAGTTTCAATCTTCACACAAATGTCATTTTTCATGGATTCGAGCGATTGTTTAAACATTTCAACTGTCAGTGATTCCCCCTCAGAAGTACCTCTCGAGTTAGCCGATCCCGCCGTATTAGCCAGCTTTTACTTGCCGCTACGCTTACTGCTCGGAGCTGGCATTATATGCACCATACCCACTAAATTTGAGCCAGTAAGTGTTAGCGAATCAGAGTGAAAAAGTAATGAAATAAGTATCAAGACTTTAATAAAGTTGAAATTTCACCTTCATTTAAAAAACTTCCCGGATTTTGCTGTCATAGATTGGACAGGACTAAACAATCTAGACTCATGACTTTAGTCAAAGGACTAAACTCACAACTTCAAACACAGTTACCCATGATGGTCCTCGAGAGACACTTTGTGAGTATGAGGACTTAGCCTTCCAGCTAAGCGGCCCCTTGTCTGGTGGTCCCAGTGCTTCAAGGCTCTTATTTGGTTCCTGGACTATCTGTTTCTGGCAACATTGTTGACTTGACTTCACAGACACTACTAGAAGAGAGCTGAACTCAGCTGGACAATAACATCACTGAATCAACAATGAACTGACTTTAACTGATAAACTGACTATTTTCTATTGTCCTCTTGCATTATCAGCACACATTTTTCCTGTTTAAGACTGTAAAGCTGCTTTTCCACAATCTGTTTTGTATAAAGTGCTATATAAATAAAGGTGACTAGACTTTGTTTATCTTGGTTCTTTTATTGATTTATTAAATCTTATTTTGCAATTTGATCCAACCCTTGCTAGTCTCTTAGTTCACCCAGTGTAACACTATATGTCTGTCTGTCTGTTTGCCATCTATAAAGCCCTGTACTGCATATGAAAGTTAGATTTCTTACTGGGGCCATCTAGGGACCAAAAAACCTTATCACAGTTCACTACAGTAAATATACAAAGTCTGACAAGCAAAGTGAACCGGCTTATTCCATGCACAGTATCCTTCTTAATGTCATTGTATTGTTGTTCATTGTTACATAAAGTCGTCTTTATTATATTTCTAGCATATATATATAATAGTTGAGGTATACCCATGATGAAAATTACAGGCCTCTCTCATCTTTTTAAGTGGGAGAACTTGCACAATTGGTGGCTGACTAAATACTTTTTTTCCCCACTGTATATATATATATATATATATATATATATATATATGACCACCCTACAGAGA